CTTTACTCTCGACTCTTGTTTCTCAACTGGCCATTCAATGCTTAATTTTTCCACAGCCCGAGTCAAAACCTCCATCAGCTCTACATTCGCGGGAGACTGGGATGGCGAGTCCCCGATCTCCACTGAGTCCATAGACTCTGCATCCACACTTTCAACATCCAGCTCCTCAGAACTGGATAATTGAAGTGATGGCGCCTCAGCCCGGGCAGGAGAAACTGCAACGCGGACCCCCGCAGCGAGAACTGAGGCACTGGATCTACCAGGTAAGGGCAGAGAAAGGGCGGGGCCCGTCTCAATCCCCGCTGATAGATCCATCTGCGATCCCCACGACGCAAGCCTTCGCTGTGCCTCAGCAGCAGCGGGACCCGAGCCGCGGGGAGCGCGCACCGAACCACTCTCCTCGAAGAGTGCCCGGCGGGAGCGAAGTGTCTTCATGGGCAGACACTCGCAGTGCTCACAGCCGGCCCCCTCGAGAGCCGACTGAGCATGCTGCACTCCCAAACAAACAAGTGAATGTTCGTGATGAAGCGAGGGCAGGGATGAACACACTTTCTGAAATTCTGCTGTTGTTTGCTCGCCATATCAATATATATATATATATATATACAATATTAGACAGACAGACAAAATTCATACATAGAGCACTTGTGAAGACTCAGAAGCTGTTGCGCTTGTGTTTCGGGGATGCTTTATAGTTTCCTGGTCGATACGTCACCACGCCTATGACGTTCCGTCTCGCCATTGGACAGATTTCATACGTGCTTCATGACTCGTCACGCAGAGGCGTTCCCCCACGGCGTTTACGCAGCTCGAAGTTCCCTGAATGGGAACACTAGCATCAAACACCAATACAGAAAATACAAACTTTTCATCTTTACAGTTTCAACAATTTCAGTGACTTCATACAAAGTAATATTTTCTTCAAAGAAAAGAGTGACATTCTTTCAATTGATTTATTTACATTTTTAGAACAAAATAATTGATAAATAGCAGTTTGCTTCAATAGTCTGCAGTAATTTACAGAAGGCCACAAGTTTTCAGCCATCCAGCTGAAATTGTTTGAACATCAGCATTGTGTGAAAGGCACAAGGCTGAAATTTATTCTAGTTTGAATGTGTGGTTCAGTTTTGACAGCAGTGTGTTAGCATTTGAACAAAGTGCTGTGAATCCACAGTGTTGTGCAGGTTGTGGTGGCTAAAGTCATGGGATAAGTTAGTCTGGTAATACCAGACTCTGCTACTTCACTTTGCTTCATAGACAGAAGGTGTTTCTCAATGTCAAGGATACTTCCTTGGCAGGACGGGTCCTTCCAAGTCATTTCCTTCAGAGGCTAGGCAAGGGTCCTCTTTAGCGTTCGGAGAACATGTAAATGGAACAGGATAGCAAGTGCACGTCATTGCGTCATTACATCAGTGAAAGGTCCGCTTCGGCGCTGCAAAAATCATTGTGCTGGTGTACTGCACTGTTTAAATACACTTGACAGTCCTTATTTTGTCTTGTCAGTCCTCATAGAAATAAATAAATAGCTAAAGGGATAATGTATAACCAGGCGGTTGTTATAGTGAATACAACCCCGCAAACTCTAAAGCAGAGGGGTCTTGATCAGCCGGTTGTATTCGCTGTAACAACCGCCTCGCTATACATTTTCCCACTTATAACATGGCTACCTACCAAATAAATCAATAATTTGACACAAAATATTGATTTAAAAAGGAGTTTATTCATTCAATTATATTACCGGAGTTAACAGAACCTATAGCAACATGATCTAACGTTAGCTGTTAAAACACATGCAATTGTAAAATATGTGACCAACAAAAAAAGGCTATGAAGTAAAAATTAAAAAGTTAATCACCAGTAAAAGGGAACAGCTTTAAATCCCCTCAGCAAATTTGAGCCGATATGTTAAATAGTTTAACAAACATTAAAAAAATGGCTAAACTGAAATTATACTTGCTTACATTTGAAAGCATATTGCCGTTATCACTCCGACTCCGCTAACGGTCGACATTTTTTAGTTTTTGAACAAGATAGCAAAGCTGCGCATAGGATTGTGGGTGATTTAAGAGCGCGAAGGCTACACATATGCATCCTTTCCTGTGTATGGGATATTTTCCGAACGAAGGACTCAGTCCTTGGTTGAAATTCTGAGGATCCTCGACATTGGAACAGTCCTTCGACGGACGTCGATGACGTAGCATCCTCGAAATTCCGGCTTCCGAGGATCCTTCCTTGACATTGAGAAACGCCTAGAGTCTGGAATGGCATAATAGAGAAGTGTTTTCTCTCTCGCAAGGGGGCGCTTCTCTGAAGTTTAAAATCATTGGTTACCCGTAAGCCAATCAGATAAGTTTATTTATGACGTAGGCTATGTTATGCACCGACACGAACTTCCACTGTAAACAGGGAGCGGCGCTTTTGTAAGGACTGCAAAATGCGTGCCAACCGGGAATGAACAATTCACAAACTAGGTTATTTATATGAATTAGGCTACTGAGTTGCGGTCGCCCCGCAACGTCGGCGTGCCCCGCTCTCACGATTCTGATTTAGCTTCCGCCGCCCCGCAGCGCCGCGAGGACGAGACCCTGCTCTCACGAGTCATGAATAGGAAGTTAATTTTACTGATTTTCTGAGTCATTCGAGTCATTTAGTTTATTTAAGTGGCTTATGTTATAATTTTAACAGTCAAATTCCCAGATCACGTCCACCTACGCAATGTTGATCATATTCTGAATTTATTATCCTTGGGGTCAATTTGACCCCATTCAATGTTTAACGTCTGTAAAAACATAATTTTATTTATTTATTTTTTTGCTTCAAATTTAATGACTTTTCCTAAGTTAATGGGGACAACTCTGTAAACATAAAATTAACCTGCTAATATTTTTTCAAAGTCCTGTACAAATTTTGTAACATCGGTGTTCCTTTGGGTCAATTTGACCCCAGGCTCTTTTAGATGTATAATAAAACAGAATAAATATTAAAATTTCACACACATTTGTTTTGGTTGTTATATTGAGGTCATTATAACATGTTATAATTTGAATTTATAATGTTCATTGTATTTTTACATATTCAATATCATTTTCAAAAAACGTCCCTCTGTTTTAGGGCTCTAACCAAACATAACCATATCTGTAGTATTGCGAGAACTACTAGTCGTTCACATGACATGTGACATAATTCTCAAGATAACTAATAATTCTTTTCTGTGTATTTGGAAGGGGAAAACATAATTTTTATGAAAAATTTGATGTTTCCCGTGCCATGGGGGGGGGGGGGGGTTGTTATGTGTTACTATCAAGGATAGTAACACATAACTCGTGTTACTATCCTTGATAAAATATATAGTTTTTCTTTCCAAATGTCATAGATTACATAAATCTATACTTAGAAATATTATAAAACAAATAAAACACCAGATGTTTTTATACTTTTCCAATTTTAGGTCAAATAAGATTTTATGTTGATTTGTAAATTTGTCCATAGTCGTGCAATGGGTATTCTGGATGTATAAGGAGTTAGGTGGGGTTAGGTGGGGTGGGGAGGGGGGTGGTGGGTGGATGTCAACTTAAAACGTTACTTAAGTAGTCAACAAAGACATAAATTAACTGAGACAAACCTTTGTAAAAAAAAATAAACATATTGTGGAGGTTTAAATTACTGGGGTCAAATTGACCCCAGAGGGTAAAAAGTGTTATCAGATTTGAGGGTAACAGGAGGGTTAAGAAATCATAATGCAGTAAAAAAAATGATTTACAGGGAACATAAATAATCACCTTACCTTACGAGTCTTACGTTCATTTGTCACGTGACATACGCAATGAACAGATCGTTCATGAATCACATATCTGGGACTTGGATTATAATAATAATAATAATAATAATAATAATATGATAATAAGAGCGCACCAGGAGCGTTCACAGCCAAGGAGACCGACTTTCTTGTCATGGCCGTAAAAGACGGAGAACTGACGTTGAATGGGGGTAGGTTATGTCCTTATAGTTATGCATATAGTTATGGTCTGATCCGTCATTACTACAATTAGCCTGACAAAATTGGGTAGCCTAAATGCCTAAGCTTGAAGTGTTAAATTTTTCCTTGTTATAATGATTTGCAAAAATAAAAACGGCTGCATCTGTGTTGATGAGAGAATCAAAAGTGTATGCTTGTTGTGCAAGCTACATAATGGCCAAGCATGCTGGTTTTTGCTGGTATACGTTGCAAAATAGTTTTTTGCCTAGAGCGGCAGAAGTGCACGCGCCAGTCCTAGCTGTAAACACTGATGATGCGAGCGAAATACCGGAGTGAACATGGCTGTAAACGACTTTTGCTTCAGTTTGAAAACCCCCGGAATGTTCTCCATAACAGAGCAAATTGCATCCCGTGTCTTGTTTCCCATTTCTGCGCGGTTGTTTCGGTTTTCGATTTCTCTAACCTACAATGTAAACTCGGCGCTTAGCGTCTACGTCACGGCTCTCAGCCCACCCTCTGTTCGTTGATTGGCCGGCTGTTTTCAGGCCGGTGGAAAACTGAAAGATAGGCCGCTATCTCAGACTGACTACAAGAGCGAAATGAAATTAGCGGAAGTAGGAAGTCTGACGTAGTCAGTCTAGGGATAAGTGTGTAGAGTTTTGAAAACTGTCTTCAAGCAATGAAAAACGAACTAGAGTTTGGTTCACATGAACTCCTGCTGTGCAGACTGGAGTTAGAGTTTTGCACATGTAGCTCCAGTTGTGCTCACTGGCGTTTAGCAATCGAAAACCCCCCCAAAAAAGTTAAGGTATAATTTTGATTTATTTTCATAAATTTGTCTGTTATAATTCTTACTTGTTATCTCATAATTTCAACTTTTTTTTTAACCACATAACACATTTGTCTTTTTGAAAAGTCATAATGACAACTTCAGTCAAAATGATGACATAAAAGGTAGAGATTAAACACAGATTAAATATGGGCTTCCATCAGGATTAATCAAAGGACAGTGCTGCATTATATTTATTTATTTATTTATTTATTTACGAAACAGTGTGTGACTGTTTCCTCATCTGCTAATCCTCAGCTCGACACACACACAACAGACCCTGCAGGAGATCAGCCTTAAACTGCTTCTGTTGAGGAACACCACAGAGTCAGTGAAAATACAGCAGTGTGTGTGTGCGTGTATGAGAGAGAGTGTGTGTGTGTGTGTGTGATAGACCTGTAAGGCAGTGTACAGTGAAGCTCCCGTCGACTGAAGGAAAGCGACTCGAATTCTCAGCAGATCCTCTTCACTGTGAGACACCATCACACCCTGAACCACTGAGGCCTGCACACACACACACACACACACACACACACACACACACACACACACCCACACATCTATTGATGAACCACTGAGGCCTACACACACACACATCAACACAAACACACACATCTACTGATGAACCACTGCGACCTGCGCACACTCGCACACATACGCACACACACAGATCTACAGCTGAACCACAAACACACACTAAACTGAACATTACACAACTACACTCAACATTAATAAACTAAAGAACTGTTTTTCCACTTTAAAGAATCTTTACCAATAAACAACCTTTATTTACAAAAGTGTACACACAAGTGATCTTGTATATTTTGTTTTAAAAAACTGCCTGTTTTGCATTTGCATGAGCATAATATCCATATTTTCATTGATACACAGCTGCCATACAAAGAAGACGTTTGTTTATTAACAGTGCAGCATTCATTCAAGAGAACTGCGCGCAAACACACAAACACACACACACACACACACACACACACACACACACACACACGCACGCACACACACACACACACACACACACAAACCTGGCAGCTGCATCAATCCAACTGAGTCTGAAATGAGATTTATAAAGATATTTCAGAAATAAGCTTACTTTCATGGTTTGGATCCGTTGAGCCAGGAACAGATGCTGGTTCTGTAAAGATCGAACTGACAGGGAGAAGAAAGGATAAATCACATGCTGGATTTACACTGATTCCACATCAACACACACGTGACGTGGATTGAACACACATAAACACACATGTGATTTACACTGATTCCACATGAACACACGTGACGGGGTTTTACCGAGTGTTTTCAGGCCTTTCCTCAGATCTCCAGACTGAAGTCCTTTAAAGCGTCCATCTAAAGTGTCTTCCAGTGTCTGTCCTCTCTCCAGCTCCAGCTCTTCCAGCACTGGACACACACACACACACACACTCGCATCACACACTTGTAGTCGTCAACCTTACAGAAATTAAGGCTTAAACTGTTCCTGTGTTACGAGGATTTGCACGTGTATAAGGACTGATAGTTAACTGAAGAACTGAAACTGATGTGATTATAATCAGGTCAAATGTAGAATATAAAGGCCTTCGTATACTGTGTGCAGAACATCTACATGAATCAAGGCTTCTTCACTAATGTTTCACATTTACATTTGTAGAATAAAGTCATTATTTACTGTCTTTATGAAGCATTTCCCTTTTGATTAAATGTTGAAAAGCAACAATTTCCAGATTTATCTTCTTCTGGAGACATTTTCCACAGGTGAAACACACATATACACACACACACACACACACACACACACACACACACACACACACACACACATACACAGTTGAACAGACCGATTCGCAGATGATCCGGGCTTCTCGTGGTGAGGATTTGGATCCAAACATCAGCTGAAGGTTTCTTGTTTTTCAGCTCCTCAGATAAAGTCTGTAAACATCAGACAGTAATCTACGGATGCTCTGCTAAATGCTACACTCTAAAAAAAATACTGGGTGGTTTCAACCTAAATTTTGGGTCAAATATGGACAAACCCAAATGTTGGGTTAAAATGGAATTTAATCAACTTTTACTTTCAACTGTAATTTTTTTAATTACATTTTAACCCAACATTAGGGTTTGGCCACATTTGACCCGAATTTGGGTTGAAACAACCCAGCATTTTTTAGCATGTAAATGCTCCTTAAATCAGGATACATTTACTGGAGAAACACACAACAATCATGAAAATTCAGTGAGTTTGTGCTTAAAACAAGAACAAATATCTGTCAGTGGAGTGGAAGAATAATCTTGTTTTTCTAGAAAACTGATATTGGTCCAATCGAATCCTGTTTCTGAGGTCTTCTAGAGGTCATCTAGAGGTTATCAGACGCAGTGAAGCGGATCAAACAAAGCAGAGTCAGCTTCACAGGTTTGATGATCTCAGAACATGAGCTGAAACTTGGACTGCGGATCTACATGGACTCACTGCTGTGTCCTGCTCAATCACTCCTGGCCCATTCTCTTTCTGATGAAGGACAGAGTGAAGATTACTTAGACAGACCATAAAACGGGATATTGATATAGTGATGATTCATCTACGCAATGAAATAGATTTTGTTGTAAATGTTTAACAGTGTGAGTCCTGCGTCTCACCTTCAACAATGCCACGATGATCTTGGAAAAATCCCCACTGGATTCACTGATCAAGTCTTTCTCCAAATCCCGCTTGAACTCTGTTAACGTCACAATGATGAAACATTCACACCCAGACTACAGAAAAGCTATATAAGTATCAGTGCTTATGGAATAGTGATAATATAATAAATGCACTACTAAACTAAAAGTTTGTGGTCAGAAAGATTTATTTTTTAAACTAATTAATAGCGTTATTTAGAGAGGATGCATGAAATTGATCAAAAGTGACAGAAGAACAATGTTACAAAAGATTGTACTTCAAAATAAATGCTGTTTTTTTGAACATTTTTATTCATCAAATAATCCTGAAAAATAAAATGTATGACAGTTTCCACTGAAATCTGACCTGTTTTCAACACTGATAATAATCATAAATGTTTGTTGATCCTCATATTAGAGTGATTTATGAAGGATCATGTGACACTGAAGACTGAAGTAATGATGATAAATTCAGCTTTGATCACAGGAATAAATTACACTTTACTATATATTCACATAGAAAACAGATGATTTACACTGGTCTGTGTCGAGGCAAAATGGAGGCATGAAAGTACGCGTCCTTCAGGTCTATCGCTGCAAACCAATCCTGAGGCTGGACGCATTCGAAAATGCGTGCAGATTCAGGATCGGTCATAACCCACCGGTCTTCTTGGGGACAATGAAGTGGGGGCTGTAACCCTTGACCCCAGCAGGGTTGCAATTTCCGCTCTCATGACCGGGGCATAGCCACCGGCCGTTGTGAAGCGAACTCCCCTGAAACGGGGAGGAGACCATGCGAACTGAATCGCATAGCCGCGTTTGATCGCTCTGATGACCCAGCGGGATAGGCCGGGGAACTCTAACCAAGCTCCCAGGAACTGATCCAGCAGGGTCATGCGAACCACAGACGTCCCCCCGGAGGGGCAGTGAGGCGGGGAGAGCGGGACGACACGAGGGACCCTTCCGCACCCTCAGAGACAGAGAGGAGTGAGCGGGGCGACACAATGGGACGTCGAACATGCTCATTCCCGTCTGTGTGCTCAGTGATAGTGTCAAGTCTTTCTTCAACCAACTCAGGGCGCTGCCCACTCGAGGGGTGAGCAGCGGGGAGCTGAGAACAAAAGATTCTCCCCCGGCCCTCCACCGGGGGAAGGAGGGGCCCTGCTACCGCCTCCTGTGAAAAACCCTGACACCAGGGGCGATTCTAGGGTCAGAGCTTTAGGGGTGCTGAGCACCCAATGAGCCCCACTGCCACCACCCACATTTTACACCCATATACGCTCCCCCTCTCTCTTCATTTTATTTATTTAATTAGTTATTTGTAAGGGGGGCAGTGTACACATTAATCAACATTAGAACAATGAAAATGTGCCCGAGTTAGCTAAAAGAGCTAATTTTCATCAGTAGTTCCCCAGCCAGCAGTAAAAAAGGCAACCTTAAAGATATTAACAAATTGGTGAAACTATGTTGGGTGCACTATGTTCCTCTAGGGGGGTTCGGGGGCATGCTCCCCCGTTAGAAAATTTTGTACATTTTAAGGTTAAATGCATCAATCTTGTGCTCTTTGAGAGATCAAAATTAAGAGCTTCAACCCATGAACTGCTCGTTGAACAAAGAAAAAGCATTGATTTGTACCAGGACAACAAAGAGGGCTCAAACTTTTTTTTAGTTGAGTCTCAGTCTACATTACATTATCAATGGTGTTTTAAGATCCCAAACAAATATTATAATAATGTAATAATGATTTATAAATTATTCCTATGATGTAAAATCCATATAGCCTATAAATGTACTATATAATGAAAATTAATATTTCAAAAGTATATTTTAGTCAACATTACACTATAGGAAAATTAAAATACTTTTATCATATTTCTACACTTGCAAGAAATAAACCCGTAAGCTTTTATTTAGGAGAAAATACCAGATATATAACCATGCTGATCGCGTGAGCAAAGTGCACACTTTTCTTTAAATCACCCAGCAAAATTTGTGCTGTTTTATATAGGCAAAAAGCCATATCATGGATTCGATTGTAGTTTGTTGGCAAAATATAACACTAGCCCCTTATGTTAGGTTATACATTTTACATACAATTTACATCTCATGTGTGTTGGGAAAAGAGAGAAGAGAGAGTTAGGCAAAAGGTAGATTCAAACTCAGGTCGAGCGCATCTAACTTCACTCACGCCCTACGACCTACGCCACTGTAGTACTCCGTGACGTGCATCTATTTACTAGAAAGACAGGCACTTCTCCGTTAGACAGGCAAAGCTCCGTTATCGAAAATGCAAAATGCAAAATGCAAAAAAAAAAAAAAAAAAAATTAAATTTTTTTTTTCTTCCCCTCGCTTGGGCGCATGGCGTACTTGCAATGTATAAATTTTATCAGATCGGCCCTCGCGGCCTCGAAACACCACCGGCTCACCGGGAAAACTCCCGACTCTCCCGATTGCCACTCCGCTAACGTTACTCCACAGCGGAGGCGACCCGCTAGATTAAAACAGTCCGAAAATAAACACTTATTATAGGTGTACCAATGATTCAGGATACTGACTCCAGTACTCACCGATATGGTTTCGGAATCGGAACAACTGAAAGGAAAAAAGTATGTGAGACACAGCTCTGGAGCGTCTCAGTTGATTCACAAAACTACCTAACGGCCCGGATTCTCATAACTCTGCGTGTGTTTCGCGCTGGATGACGGCCGTGCTGAGCGGTGCAGGTATAAAGAAGTAACGTTAGAAGAAGAGAAATGTTTTCTCTTTCATTTCATTTTAAACCACAAACTACTGAGTATGTTTTGGACATTATTTAACCGTGTCAAAGACGAACAAAATTTTTAGAATAACAACATTTCTTGCTCCAAGTTTTAGGGGTGCTGAGCTCCTCTTTAGGGGTGCTGAAGCACCCCTAAAAAGGGGCTAGCCTCGCCCATGCCTGACACTATCACTGAGCAGCCCGTCTCAGGAACGCCGCTTCGCCTGGCGTTAGCGTGGCACGCGGCCTGAGGGGGCTGTGACGCTCTCCTGTGGCCTCCTCCGCGACGCGATCCGGCTGAAGGCTGCTGCTGGGGCCGCGTGGGAGTGAAGGGAGCCGCAGGGGGGCGTCCTCGGCGGCGAGCAGGCGGAGGCATCTGAACCGATGGCTGGGTGGAGGCAGCAGCTGGCCATCGGGGCAGAAGTGTATAATCGCCTCCGTCTGCTCCTGGGCGGTCGAAAACTGCTGGGTGAAGTCCTCGACCGCACCGCCGAAGAGGCCAACCTGGGAAAGGGGGGCATCGAGCAGACGAGTCCGCTCGGCATCCCGCGAGTCTGCCAGGTTGAGCCATAGATGACGCTCCTGGACCACACTGGTGGCCATCACCTGACCAAGGGAGCGAGCGGCCACTTCCGTCACCCGTTGAGAGCGAGGTCGGTGGCAGCTCGCAACTCGCTTGGTCAGTCCCCCCCTCATGCATATCCCTGAGCAGCTTGCAAGGTGCTCATCGCATGCAGGGCGGAGATTGCTTGTCCCGCCACTCTATAGGATCGCACCGCCATAGACGACGAGAACCTACAGGCTTTGGACGGGTGCCTGGGAGTAACGCGGGAGGATGCACCCTGCGGACACAGTTGCATCGCAACAGAGCGCTCCACCGGGGGAATCCCAGCGCACCCACGGGCAACCACGCTGTCGAGGGGAGGAAAGGTGGGGGAAACTGAAGAACGCTCTCGGGAGATCAAAGGAGCCTTCCAAGTGCGTGTCAGTTCCGCATGCAGCTCGAGAAAAAAGGGAATTGGGGTCGGCTGTGGCCGAGAGGCGGCAACCTTGCCCAAAAAAACAATTATCCCTCCGCGAGAGATCGGGACAGGGCGGAGTTCCACTCCAGCCCGATGCTCACGGCAGGCCCGAGATAGCATGACCATCATCTCAGGATCAGACACGGGCAACGCTGTCGCTCCCGAGGGAGGCAGCGCAGCCGCATCCTCACTTCCCGAGGAATCAAGCCCGCCTTGTGATGCTGCGATCGACATCGCATCATCCTCTGGAGCGCCGAACGAAACAGACGGTACCTACGAAGAGGCAGACGCCTGAAGCGATTCGGCTCTAACACTGGAGTGGTGGGTGTGGCCCGAGGAGCTAGCGTCGGGGGTTTGTTCCACACAGTCACCGTCAAATCACCCTGTCCCCGAGTCGAAGAGCTTCTAGGAAGAAGCAGAACGAGTAGCGGACACGGGGACTCTCACTTTTATCAGATCATTGGGCCTAGATCGCAGTGTAGAGATGGTCATGTTCCCACAGAAGGAACATGAGTCATCCACGAACGCTGCTGCTGCATGCAGAATGCCCAGACACACAGAGCAGCGATCGTGACCATCAGAAGATGACATGAATCGACCGCACCCAGAAGAACATGGGCGAACCATCTTTAAAAAGACGTGCCACGTGCAGCTAGTTTCAATAGAGAGGAGGAAATTCACTCTTTCAACACTGAGGCGACCAGGGAGAAACACAAAGTCTGGCAGACCACTGCTCAGATCGCAGGCAATGCAGAATCTCGCTGGGTACCGCCGTCACACCAACACTGAAGAGGACGCTCGTCTCGAAGAGTTGTACTCATTGAAAATGGCTTGAGGAGTGAAGAAGTCTCTTGGCTCCGAAGCGAAAACATACTGCGGTTGCGTTCACTTCCTCCTTTTATACCCACGGGGTGGGGCGGAGTTACACTATGCAAATTCCACAGCCCCAAGGCATTAAATACTCGAAGAGGATTGGCTTTCTTTGCGAAACCCCCATTCTCCGTCATTCCGACGTAACTCGGAGTGACTACGAATGGGAACTGTAATTGCATTAATACAAATTTTGTACATTTTCTTTAAAGCACCTTGACTGTATGTAGTCTTGATGTTGGCGAGCTGCAGTGGCGTCCTGGTGCACAACACCTCTAGAAGAGTTTCTTCATCCGTACCAGCACCCTAAACACACACACACACACACACACACATACCACGGATACAGTCTGAATGGATGTGGATTATGTATAGTGATCCAACACAGACACACACACACACACACACACACACATAGACTGGCACTATTAATGCTAAACCTCCATGGCTTTGCGCAAGCGATGGGCATCAAATAGCTCCGGGATCATCATCAAACTGAGTATCAGAGACTGCAGATCCCCGGAAAGAACCTTCTTCAGACTCGCCTGGAGTTCCTGTAACACACACAGACACACACACATTTTGCCTTCTCCTTGTGATCTGAATTTCATATAGTCTGTATTGAGATTATCCATTGACTTCAATTGATTTTACACAGAGTTAATAATATTTTCTGTTCCCTAAACCTAAACCATATCCTCAGAGACATCCCACTTCTCTTCTTCATCTACATGTCATCACTAGGATTTGTCAGTCAGAAACATGTTTTCCCATCACTGTTCTCATCTAGCAAATGGAGTGCATCATGGCTCAGTGCTCGGACTGCTTCTATTCTCCATCTACATGTCATCACTAGATCTGTCACTCAGAAACATGGCTTTTCCCACCACAGCTATACTGACACTCAGCCTGACAGACACAGCTGGATGCAGGACCATCACCCTAAACTAAACCTTGCGAAGACAGAACTGCTTGTGACCTCGGCCAAACCAAACACTACACAATAACTTCTCCATTCAGCTGTAGTTTCATCATCCATAACTCGATCTAGGACAGCCAGAAACCTTGGAGTTGTGATTGATGATCAGGTGAACTTCACAGATTGTTAAAACTCCCTGTTCTGCAGATTTGCCTTATACAACACCAGGAGGATCAGGTCGTTCCTATCAGAGCTACACAACTCCTTGTCCAAGCACTTGTTCTATCAAGAGTGGCCTATTGTAAAGCTCTCCGTCCAGCATCTGTCAAACCTCTGCAACTGATGTAGATGCTGCAGCAGGAGTGTGTTCATCGAGCCGAAGAGATGCACGTCACTCACACAGATAAACCTGCACTGCTGGCAGGACAACCACCAGTGACCATTTAGTCACTATGATGTATTATATTACTTGGTCACTCTTTATACTATTGGGCCACTATAAAGCACAAGGACTATTTTTGGTGGATTATTTGGAGATAAATTAGTTTCTTCCTTACCATTTGTGAGGCCTTCTTGTAGACGCGTGCCAGAGATTGTCTTTGAGCATTACTGCGATTGGTTATTATTCTCACAATGGTGCTCACATCTTTAACAAAAAGATATGGTAGTTTGAAATTAAAACATTTAAATATGACAGAAGACTAGCAGTCAGACTGTTACTAATGCAATAGTCATTCCTATAAATGAACCTTTCTTCTCCAGAGCAGCTTGAAGGATGGTAACATCTCTCTCGGGACGGAAATTCGGGAAGGGCCGAACTGATCCCAGCGTTCCCCACCACATGCCTTCAGTCTGAGGGAGAGAAACATACAGGACTCGGTGAAAGTGTAGAAGAAAAAATTAGGGATGCACAATATGTCGGCCACCATATCGGTATCAGCCAATATATTATGTTCATTTTTAATGTTATCTTTATTGCCCCAATAAGAAAATTTGTTCGATATATTAAAGCTGACAAATGAAGAGTTCAGATGCAAAAGCCTCTAAATGCCATTTGAAATTTTCTTCTTTAATAATGATTTTTTATCAAACTTGTATATTTAAGTTCAGTAATTTCACTTAAATAACAATTAATAGGTAATTATCATTGCCATTTAAGTGAAATTAATAATAATAATAATAATAATAATAATAATAATTCATTACATTTATATAGCGCTTTTTTTTCTGGAAACTCAAAGCGCTTCACATAGAGGGGGGGGGATCTCCTCAACCACCACCAATGTGCAGCATCCACCTGGATGATGCGACGGCAGCCATATTGCGCCAGAACGCTCACCACACACCAGCTTACTGGTGGAGAGGAGACAGTGATGAAGCCAATTGGTGTATATGGGGATGATTAGGAGGCCATGATGGACAGAGGCCACTGGGCAAATTTGGCCAGGATGCCGGGGTTACACCCCTACTCTTTCGAAAGACATCCTGGGATTTTTTATGACCACAGAGAGTCAGGACCTCGGTTTAACATCTCATCCGAAGGACGGTTCTCTTTTGACAGCATAGTGTCCCCATCACTTTACTGGGGTGTTAGGACCCACACAGACCACAGGGTGAGCACCCCCTGCTGGCCTCACTAACACCTCTTCCAGCAGCAACCTGGTTTTTCTCAGAAGGTCTCCCATCCAGGTACTAACCAGGCTCAGCCCTGCTTAGCTTTAGTGGGCAACCAGTCTTGGGCTACAGGGTGATATGGCTGCTGGTAATTACTGAACTTAAATATACAAGTTTGCTAAAAATCATCATTAAAGAAGAAAATTTCAAATGGCATTTAGAGGCTTTTGCATCTGAACTCTTCAAATAATGGTATTGTAACACTTTACAATAAGGTTCATTAGTTAACATTAGTAATGCATTAACTAACGACGAGCAATGCATTAGTTACAGTGTTTATTAATCTTTTTTTAATGTTAGTTAATATAAATACAGCTGTTCATTGTGCGTTCATGTTTGTTCACAGCGCATTAACTAATGTTAACTAATACAACCTTTGATTTTAATAATGTATTATTGTAAATGTTGGAATTAATATTAACTAAGATTAATAAATGCTGAATAAGTATTTGTCACAGTGTCTGGTTGTGTTCCCTTGTTTGTCCACTAGATGTCCTCCTTCCCCTCGGTGTCATGTACATCTGGAACTGCATTTCCCATCATCCTGTTCTGTCACTTACTGATCATTGTTCTCAGCTGTTCCCACTCACATCATTTGTATCTGACTATTTATACCCTGTCTGTTTCTGTGTTCATTGTGGATTCCTTGTTTATTGTCGTCACACTTCGGGTGTCTGCAGGCTGTCTGCTTCTTGTTTGTTTTATGTTTTTGGACTGCCTTTCTGGAATTTTGACCCTTTGCCTGGACTGGTTTTGTGAGTACGGATTTCCCATTAAAAATACTGCATTTGGATCTAACGTTTCCTGTGTGTGTGTATCGTGACAGAAGGAATCCACCCGAGGGGTCTTCACCGCCCTGGCCGCCTGAGGGGTCTTCACCGCCCTGGCCACCCGAGGGGTCTTCACCGCCCTGGCCGCCCGAGGGATCTTCACCGCCCTGGCCGCCCGAGGGATCTTCGCCGCCCTGGCCGCCCGAGGGATCTTCGCCGCCCTGGCCGCCCGAGGGATCTTCGCCGCCCTGGCCGCCCGAGGGATCTTCGCCGCCCTGGCCGCCCGAGGGATCTTCGCCGCCCTGGCCGCCCGAGGGATCTTCGCCGCCCTGGCCGCCCGAGGGATCTTCGCCGCCCTGGCCGCCCGAGGGATCTTCGCCGCCCTGGCCGCCCGAGGGATCTTCGCCGCCCTGGCCGCCCGAGGGATCTTCGCCGCCCTGGCCGCCCGAGGGATCTTCGCCGCCCTGGCCGCCCGAGGGATCTTCGCCGCCCTGGCCGCCCGAGGGGTCTTCGCCGCCCTGGCCGCCCGAGGGATCTTCGCCGCCCTGGCCGCCCGAGGGGTCTTCGCCGCCCTGGCCGCCCGAGGGGTCTTCGCCGCCCTGGCCGCCCGAGGGGTCTTCGCCGCCCTGGCCGCCCGAGGGGTCTTCGCCGCCCTGGCCGCCCGAGGGGTCTTCGCCGCCCTGGCCGCCCGAGGGGTCTTCACCGCCCTGGCCGCCCGAGGGGTCTTCACCGCCCTGGCCGCCCGAGGGGTCTGCACCGCCCTGGCCGCCCGAGGGGTCTGCTCCGCCCTGGCCGCCCGAGGGGTCTGCTCCGCCCTGGCCGCCCGAGGGGTCTTCACCGCCCTGGCCGCCCGAGGGGTCTGCTCCGCCCTGGCCGCCCGAGGGGTCTGCTCCGCCCTGGCCGCCCGAGGGGTCTGCTCCGCCCTGGCCGCCCGAGGGGTCTTCACCACCCTGGCCGCCCGATGGACCCTATGTTTCGCCCTGGTCCCTGATTAAGCCCTCACCCCTTGTTCCTGTCTCTCTTCATGGACCTGGCCCACCATCCCTCCCCCTGATCCTCCACCGTTCCACCTCCCTCCTGAACTCTTGTGATTGTGTTGTTGTTGTCGTGGAGTGTCTGGTAGCCACTCCGTAGAGGGGGGGGTTATGTCACAGTGTCTGGTTGTGTTCCCTTGTTTGTCCACTAGATGTCCTCCTTCCCCTCGGTGTCATGTACATCTGGAACTGCATTTCCCATCATCCTGTTCTGTCACTTACTGATCATTGTTCTCAGCTGTTCCCACTCACATTATTTGTATCTGACTATTTATACCCTGTCTGTTTCTGTGTTCATTGTGGATTCCTTGTTTATTGTCACCACACTTCGGGTGTCTGCATTCTGTCTGCTTCTTGTTTGTTTTATGTTTTTGGACTGCCTTTCTGGAATTTTGACCCTTTGCCTGGACTGGTTTTGTGAGTACGGATTTCCCATTAAAAATACTGCATTTGGATCTAACGTTTCCTGTGTGTGTGTATCGTGACAGTATTGTTCATTCTTAATACATGTTAACTAATGTAGTTAACTAATGTTAACTAATGAACCTTATTGTAAAGTGTTACCCAAATAATGTATTATTTCTTTCAGCTGAGACTCTTCAGATGCGCACTGTTCAACATGATGGATTTGGAATCTCTTCAAAAAAGTGCAACATGTCGTAAAGGCAACATACAATTATAATGAGATAAAATATATAATCGTGTGCTTGGGACATGGCTTTTAATGGTGAAAGTTTTGTTTTTGTAATCAGGCTCTCAAAAATTATATAAAAAATTTGGATTTAGATGTATCAGCCAATATATCACTTATCGGTTTTTAAAATATAAAGAATTATCGGTTATCGTATCGGCCACAATTTTCAACTTGGTTTATCCCTAGAAAAAATGGTTTTGAGAAGATGATTCACGACAAACAATGCTCCTGAAGTACAAACCCAATTCCATAAAAGTTGGGACACTGTACAAATTGTGAATAAAAACAGAATGCAATGATGTGGAAGTTTCATTTTAAGGGAAAAATAAGTTGATTTTAAATTTCATGGCATCAACACATCTCAAAAAAGTTGGGACAAGGCCATTTTTACCACTGTGTGGCATCCCCTCTTCTTTTAATAACAGTCTGCAAACGTCTGGGGACTGAGGAGACAAGTTGCTCAAGTTTAGGAATAGGAATGTTGTCCCATTCTTGTCTAATAAAGGCTTCTAGCTGCTCAACTGTCTTAGGTCTTCTTTGTTGCATCTTCCTCTTTATGATGCGCCAAATGTTTTCTATGGGTGAAAGATCTGGACTGCAGGCTGGCCATTTCAGTACCCGGATCCTTCTTCTACGCAGCCATGATGTTGTAATTGATGCAGTATGTGGTTTGGCATTGTCTTGTTGGAAAATACAAGGTCTTCCCTGAAAGAGACGATGTCTGGATGGGAGCATATGTTGTTCTAGAACTTGGATATACCTTTCAGCATTGATGGTGCCTTTCCAGATGTGTAAGCTGCTCATGCCACACGCACTCATGCAACCCCATACCATCAGAGATGCAGGCTTCTGAACTGAGCGCTGATAACAACTTGGGTTGTCCTTGTCCTCTTTAGTCCGGATGACATGGCGTCCCAGTTTTCCAAAAAGAACTTCAAATTTTGATTCGTCTGACCACAGAACAGTTTTCCACTTTGCTAGAGTCCACTTTAAATGAGCCTTGGCCCAGAGAAAACGCCTGCGCTTCGGGTTCCCGTTTAGATATGGCTTCTTTTTTGACCTATAGAGCTTTAGCCGGCAACGGTGAATGACACCGTGGATTGTGTTCACTGACAATGTTTTCTGGAAGTATTCTTGAGCCCATTACAGTAGCATTCCTGTGTGTGATGCAGTGCCGTCTAAGGGCCCGAAGATCACGGGCATTCAGTATGGGTTTTCCGGCCTTGACCCTTATGCACAGAGATTGTTCCAGATTCTCTGAATCTTTGGATGATATTATGCACTGTTGATGATGATAACTTCAAACTCTTTGCAATTTTTCTCTGAGAAACTCCTTTCTGATATTGCTCCACTATTTTTTGCCTCAGCATTGGGGGAATTGGTGATCCTCTGCCCATCTTGACTTCTGAGAGACACTGCCACTCTGAGAGGCTCTTTTTATACCCAATCATGTTGCCAATTGACCTAATAAGTTGCAAATTGGTCCTCCAGCTACTCCTTATATGTACATTTAACTTTTCTGGCCTCTTATTGCTACCTGTCCCAACTTTTTTGTAGCTCTCATGAAATCCAAAAGGAGACAATATTTGGCATGGCAATTCAAAATGTCTCACTTTCAACATTTGATACGTCATCTATGTTGTATTCTAAATATAATATTGAAATTTGAAACTTCCACATCATTGCATTCTGTTTTTATTCACAATTTGTACAGTGTCCCAACTTTTATGGAATTGGGTTTGTACAACACGACAACTGATACAGAGCAAAAGAGTGCAGATCCAGACACTGACCATCAGAGGAGACAGATCCTGGGAGTTTGACTCTTTCTCCATCGCAGAACTTATCAGTGAAGGAAGTTAGGAAGTCTGGAGGAAAAGCAGTCCAAGGGTTTTCAACTAGCATGTACTAACATTTAAATGAATCGTTTCATACGATGCATTTATTGTGTAGATGCAGGCTTATTGTGCTTATATTTAAAAAAATACCTGCATGTTTTAATTTCTCTAATTACATCTCTAATTACACTGTTGACCTCTTCACCCACCCATAAACCAGCAAACCAGTCCCACACTGCAAAACATCACGCTCTTCCTCAGGGTTTCTGTCTCGATTTGCAGCATAAATATTCATAAATTAAGATCTATATACTGTAGAAGCAAAATAACTGAAGATATTAGGTCTTGTTTTCTGAAAAAAAAAATCCTAAAAATGAAGTGAGTTTGTGCTTAAAACAAGAACAAATATCTGTCAGTGGAGTCAGAAAAATAACCCTTTGATAGAGCAGATATTTGTTCTTGTTTTAAGCACAAACTGATGATTGTTTTGTTGAAAACAAGGCTTCATATCTGAAAGACGGAAGGTGTTTTACCTGCTGAAGTGTGTATAAATCTCAGTCTGAGGTTGAGTTTCAGCTCTTTTATAGATGCTGGATCTTATTGAACTCAATATAGCGCAGGATGAAAACTCAATGTTTTAAAAGGCTTACGAGGAATAAACCGCTCCTGTTTTCCATACGCTGTAGTTCTCAGATGCGTCGGATGCAAAAACGTCTCAGAACAGAACGTCTCAAACCAAATAGAAGATCTCAATGGCTCCGATCGGATCAGATCAGATATCCGCTCATGGGTGTAACCTGGACACGCACAAAAACCTTGAAAACCTGCAGAACTGGAAGACTCAATCGACTGGATTCCTCCCAAAATGTTCTTTGGAAGAATCTTTGTGATTCAGGAAAGTTTATGTTTCAATTTACAGTGTCGGTGGTAAAGATTCAGTGTAAAACAGGTTGTAATCTGAGAAATGTGAGAGACTGTTGTTAATGTCAACAGAGCTGAACTTGACTGTGCAAATAAGCTCAAGTCAAACACAAGAAAGATCAGGAGAGTTCTCCACCTGAAAGAACAACACTGGCGTTGGGAGATCTCACGACATCTGCATGCTTCTCATTCACACACACACACACACACACACACACACCGTTATCAGACATCTTTCAGACCTGCCAACCTAGAAGAAATTTTATGAGTTTTAACTTGCACTGCAATGCAACAGTGAGTACAAAGTTTCAATCCTGCTCAACTCCATCTCATTATTCATGATTGATTAATATTGTATTGCATATAATTTTTAAATTGGCTGCTTAATTGATTGTTCCAATATCCAAACATGATATAAAAATCCTACAGGGAAAAGGGCTTATATTTGTGCTTTCTTTGCATTTGAACATTAGGCTACACATTATAAACAGGACACGCATTAGCTGAATATACTTTAGCCAATCCAAATAAATTTCTAGAAAACAGTTAACAATGAATAGACAGGAGTCCTGTCACAGACCAATAATTGTTCAAATAAGACGAAGATCCGACATAATGAGGGCTGTTAACAGTAAAGCGTCCGTTGCTTCACGATTAGTAAAAACACGAATAGACAAGACAAAAAGCTTTGACATTTTGACAATGAAAACACAAGCAAGAACTTTGTCTGTCAATTTTTATTTTATAAATATCTTTTCTCTCTGTGTGTGCGCGAGTCTGTTTGTGAGAGAGCTCGTGCAGCACTGATGCATGAGATCATACAACGGTCGTTTTTAATCCAGTACGGAAAAGTACGCCAACTAACTCTAGTTTTCATACAAAATAAATACATAACATAATTCTGTACTTTAGTTATTATTAACATAATAACTTAACACATGCAGGCTATGTTTCTCAACCCTTTACAGTTCTCAACACTGATGAGGCCCCGTCCACACTATTGCGTTTTCGTTTAAAAACGGAGATCTTTTGCAACGTTTGCACCTCACGTCCACACTAAAATGGGAAAAACGAAGACCTAAAACGGAGAAGTTTAGAAATGCTGGAGCTGCGTTTTGCGTTTTGAATCTCCGGAGGGTGTTTTATGGACGAGACAAAACCATAGCCACGCAAAACAAGCAAGTACTTCAGACTCTAACTCAACTGGTGCTTTGATGTAAATTGAATAACCTCTCTAAGAAAAGAAGGTTTAAATTAACGCTTGGTGGTCCTTTCAGGTCATGTCTTACGTGCATATAGAAAGTTGAAACTTTCTCTCACTCTTTCCAACTCACTCTTTCCCTTTCGCGACTGTATGAATGTGTGTGTGTGTGTGATTATGATTTAGACCTTAGTTTTGTGGTTAGAATAGCTAATAAAGTCTTGTCCATATATTTGAAAAGATATTTGCCTTGTGTCGTGTTTGCACATTTAATGTCTTGTACTGTTCTATCTAAAGTTACCTTGCTAAGACATAGTGTTTCACTATAGATTGGGTATTTATATCCTTACAAAGGTTATAATTACGTCCCGTTCAAATGAAACATTTTAGTTATTTAAATGTAACTACATGGCTGCGCCTGCATATGTGTTCTGATCAGTCGCTATAGGAAACTAGAGCCCCTTTCACACAGAGATTCCAGAAAATACACGGATAATGTGACCCAGCATTTGTTCCGGGATTGTTTGATTTCGGTTTATTCACACTGCAAGGGATTTGCCGGGATCTTTAAGTGCGTTCACACACAACCCGTAAAAATCCCGGGAAGACAGACACATGACGTCAGGATGAGACGTATAACGGACGCGTCGAAAACACTTAAACGCGCATACCGTACACCCGCTGGTGAACGATCTCAGCTTCAGTGCGGATAGTGAGGAGCTCCTGGTCTCTGCTTCGCTCCAGTTTGCAGGTAGTTGTTCGTCCTTTATTTGTTGATGACGAACACAAACTTTCTTCTAAGAGCAACAGAGTCGCGCGATGGCACGAGCGTCATCACTATGACACACCCTTTACGGCATTGGTCCTGGCTTTTGTTCACACAGCGCGCGTTCCGGGACTGATTACGGCAATATTACTAGGTCCCCAACCTGGGATCAATCCCAGAATCAATCCCAGGTCGTGTTTGCGTTCACACAGAAGGCGTTCTGGCAATTTCCCGGCAATTTCCTGGGATCAACTCGCTGTGTGAAAGGGGCTTAGATGAGTAAAGTTTGAGAAAGCCTAGCCTGAACCTTTGAAGTAATTGTAAAAGCTTGAAGTGTGTAATAGTTTAGACAGACGGAGAGAGTAAAGGATTGAAATGTTAATCATTTGCTATGCGGTTGCAAAGAGAATATGAAGAAGAACAAGAACTACAACGAATTCTGACATGATTTTGTTTTATAGTTTTATTACAAAATTGAAGCCACTCCCTGTTACATAACATTTCACATTTTTCTTCTAAAAATAACAATTCCACATGATAAAGATTTTGGTATTAAAAACAAACCCGACAGGATTCAGGCGAACAGCATTTGCAGCGGCTATAAACTAATCGCAGATATCGATATTAAAGCATACAAACCAGAATATACCCAATATCTCAAATAACATATAGGAAAATAAAAACATTAGTGTGTAAACAAAATGAGCAGAAATGAAAGAATGCTTCGAAAGTCACAGGATTCATAAATGAGATCTGAGAGAAAGCACTATAATCAACAGTGTGACGCATCTGGAACATATCTGGTGAAGTGACTTCATAAAGCTTAAACCACCAGCACCGTCTTCAGTGTGCACATCGTAAAATGACCTGTGGGTAATATTCATGTTTTATGTGCAAATAAGACACACCGGATGCAGGCGAGTTTGGGTGACCTCTGACCTCTGCTCTCATTGGTGAATGTTTCTGTTTGATCTCTTCTGCACAGGATAAACTCTCTTCATCTATGCGAGTGAATGAGGGTCGTATGTCAGAGTGGGTGGAGTTAGAAGGAGAGGCGGGTCACATGATCACAAGAGGGGGTGGGGTCAGAAGGAGATGCAGGTCATATGATTACGAGAGGAGGCGGGATTAAACAAACTCCAGCTCCCACTGCTGGCTCTCTCGCTCCTCATTCTCCTCTCGGATCACCAAATGCTCTCTGTCGTATGTTTTGCCTCCTGTAAAACAGAGGAAATATATTGCCACATGTTTTTGTTTTTTTTACAGAAATGTAGTTTCCAATATCAAGATTTTTAGTCGAACTTTTAATTGAACTATATTTTAAACAGTGTGATCTTTGCCGAATAAAAGTATAGATTTCTTTCTTTCAAAAAACTGCCCCAGAAGCTGTTCAGTAGCAGTTTATTATACGTGTTTTATTATCACCAATTTTTTTTCTTTTCAATTTTTTGCTGTACATTTAGTGTAGTGTGATAATCTAATGGGACAAATAAATATGTAAAGTATTCCTCAAACATATTTAACTTAATTAAAAACTGCATCAGAAATACAAACGTCACCAAAACTTTAGCTTGAAGTATAGCATGACACATCTGAATTGACATCATTTCAGATATTTTTTTTTGCATTCTAAACTAAAATGACATATTTAGTTTATTAATAACAATATTAATAAAATATGTTTAAAAAATGTAATATTTTTAATAATAAATAATATCAAAATCATAATCATAAAATAAAATAAAGCTGCAAGCAGCAACACGGGGCCAAGCCCTGCAAGGCAGCGCAAGTAGAACAAATACATCAAGCTACAAGTACAGCAAGTACGGCAAGTACAGCAAGCAAGCATGGAAAGTACGGCAAGCATGGCAAGTACAGCAACCACAGCAAACCAGCAAGTACTGTAAGCACAGCAGCGCAGCAATTACAGCAACGCAACAAGCATTTCAGCACCAACAGCAGTGCAGAGCCGGAAGAACAAAAAAAAAAAAAAATAGAAATTCAATGTAAATGAAGAACATATAGATTCAGAAGTACAGATAAGATGAAATCAAAATGAACAGAAGGTCTGATGAGAACGAACACAGAATTAAGTAATAACTAAAAAAACACATTTATTTCTAATCCAAGAGTAAAAAGTGATAAGTACAGCTCTTACATGGATAACAAAGGAATTTAAAAGACAACTTTATACATAATTTTATAGTCGACTCACACAGGACTCGAACCCACTATCTATAGGTCAGGTGCATGTCACTCATCACATTGCACCACTTGGCAGACATGCAACTACACAGCTGCCAAAATTCACTAGTTTGAAGCGAGACTCAGGTAAAAATGAAGAATTTTGAAGAAAATGCTGAGGATATTGTATTTAAAAAGCTCTCACATGGATAATAAAGGAATTGAAAAGACAACTTAATACATAATTTTAAAGTTGACTCACACAGGACTCGAACCCACTATCTATAGGTGTAACGGTCACCAGGTGGAGTGCCCTTGAGAGTCACCAGAGGGCACTCCACACCATTCATGTTCATGTTTCACTCACAACTACATTTCCCAGAACTCACTGCCCGGACTCATCATCACTGATCACATTCACCTGTACCTCATTTACTGATTGCATTCACCTGTGTCTCATCCTGTTAGTGTGTCAATAGCTGTGTCCCAATGTGAAGGCTGCGTACTTCGAAGGCTGTAGACTTCGAAGGATGCAGCCTATTTGGCCTTCGAAGGACGCTTCATGTAGCCTTCGTGGGATTTCCTATTTGCGCAACCAGGTGTTCCCTATTACTGCTCCTGGCGCCAAGCAACAAAGCGAGAGTACAGCTGCCACCCTGATCATTCATTTAATGAAACTGAGTAAACACCTATGGAGACAGGCTATTGTCATTTTGTTGTTTTATATTTTACTGGAAATGTTATGTTTTATATTTTCCTGTCTTTAAATGAGGGGCAATATATATAAAATCACATAATTTCAATTCACATAGGCTAACCACTAAAAAAATATTTCGAGTCATGTATTTTCGGCTCAAGAGTTGGCCAGAGCTGGTTGCTAGAGGCTGCGTCCTGAATAGTCAGATTACACTGTAAACTGTTCAAATATTGAATGTTAACCTACGTAAATATTGTAATGAAATAGCCTAAAAAATAATAATGATAAAACATAGGCACATATATAGCCTATATTCAAATGTTAATCGTACCTTGATGCGATTTAATAGGGTTTTCTTTTTATTGTCTAAATGGACCATGGTGAATATATTTATACAGGCTGTCAATCCTATTTGAATATTTTAAACCAGTTGGATATAAAAAGTCCAGTGCAAACGTCGTTACTCCCGCTCGTCGTCGTCAGCTGTCAGTCACAGTTGCTAGGCGACAAGAACAATCCTCCGCAGGCTAGACCGGTCCGAGCGCTTCAGGTGCGCACTTTGATAAGGGACGAAGTTGAAGTTAGCAACAATTTGTCAATATTGTGACAATGGACCAACAATTTGTTACTTTAATTTTTAAAATAACCAGTGGGAGTCTGGGAGAATGTAAGGAACTTCATACTAGTATTCATGTACAATTGTGAAGTAGCCTACTTTTTTTCCCTCACAGGACAACACTACACATTTTACATTAAAGGACACAAAACAAAAATATATTATAGTTTAAATGTATCAACCTTGCAATTACTCAGAGACCCTTACAAAAATAAACAAATATCCAGAGCCATGAATTCTCTTTTGTGTACACATTTAAAGTTGCATAAAATAATTAAATAATGAATAATAAAGAAATACAATGTACAAGAAAAACAATACAAGGCTATAAAAGCCGTTTTCACATTTCCACTTGACAAAACCATGGAATGCTGACGAATGAGTTAAGAATAACAATAAGAAAAAAAAAAAAAACGAAAAAAAAAACTTTTGGCTGTTAACACTGGTTTCTCTGGCTATTTGAGTAAATAAAAACATAATACTTTTACATTTAAATGTGAATTTTCCGTCCACCACTAAACTCTCTCGGCCACCCTTTTTTAAAATAAAAATGCTGTCGTCACCCGCGCAATGATTTATGGGGTAGGATCGGGTAGGATAGTCCGCGAAGTGTCCATTTATGTATCCTTCCTTTCACGGGGAAACGAAGGGTGCATTTGGCGTCGCTTTTGAATCAGGTAAGCCTTCGTCGCGCTGCAATGACGCAACCGGCCTTCGAATACGGCCTTCGGAGGATGCATAACTGAATTGGGACAGCCTTCATCCCACCGCGATGACGCAATCGGCCTTTAAATGCGGCCTTCGCGGATGCAGCCTTTGAATCGGGACGTCCTTCGTCGCGCGGCTGTGACGCAATCGGCCTTTAAATACGGCCAAGCGTCCTTCAAATACGGACTTCAGAGGATGCAACCTTCACATTGGGACACAGCTTATATATACCTTGTGTTCACATTCAGTGTTTGCGAAGTCTTGTTGTACTGTGTGTCTGCATTTCTGAGTGTTTTCCGTGTTTGTTTTCTGGTTTTTGATTTTTTTTGGATTGTTCTTGGATTCTGATTATTGCTGCCTGCCCATACCTCTGCCTGTTTCTTGGATTCCCACTGTGTATTCTCCATTGTCCTGTCTTCTGATTCTCTACCCTGCCTGTACGACTATTCTTAAATTAAAGCTGCATTTGGATCTTCACATCTACAAGCCTCAGAGCAGTTCATAACAATAGGTCATGTGCATGTCACTCATTACATTGCGCCACTTGGCAGACTTGCATCTACACAGCTGCCAAAAATCAGTAGTTTGAAGCGAGACTCAGGTAAAAAACAAGAATTTTGAGGAAAATGCAGAGGATATTGTATTTAAAAAGCTCTCACATGGATAATAAAGGAATTGAAATGACAAATTTACGCATAATTTTAAAGTTGGCCTACACAGGACTCGAACCCACTATCTATAGATTAGGTGTCTGTCACTCAACACATTGCGCCACTTGGCCAACATGCATCTACACAGCTGAAAAAATTCAATAGTTTAAAGAGAGAATCAGGTCAAAATGAAGTATTTTGAATAGAATGCAGAGCATATTATATTTTAAAGTTTGATTAAATCATCCAAAATTGATCAGCTTACTACGCATTACCATTACATGTGAGCAAATTTTCCTACTTGTGGTTCAAATGGCTGCCACTGACAACCATTCTGGGTGAAGAAGAACAATTAATTTTACGTAAAAGAATTGCATGTTGTATGTGACAGCTTCAGATGAGATCATTCTTAGACACAATGCCTGGAACAGACGCAACTTCCGCATCTTTTCCTGCCACAGTACCTCATACAGTCTGGGCACGTGTCACACTGAGTGGCGAACCCACAACGCTAAGCATCGGGATCCGTGGTGTAACACGTTGAGCTAATCACTCATGCGTGTACAACAGCCTGTTGAGGAGAGGTTTCAGTGTGAGAATGAGTTCTCAAAAAAGTTCCATGACCTGTTATCCAGATTAGCATGCTAAGCTAGCTCAATGCTAATGTATCTTATGACTTGGTACATCCAATCCTGGCAAAATACATATCATTGGATTCAGTAGCGGTAGCTATTTCAAATTTTCAAATAGGCGCACGGGAAGCGCGCTCATTATGTGCTCACGGGAAGCGCGCTCATAAACTTTTCAGTATGGGAGTGCACGTGCACCCAAACACTTGGGTGTTTTTTTCTCTTCTCCGTAAATAAATCTTTTAGCAGAGCAACAGCGCTCGAAGGGGGTCTCGCCCTGGGTGTACTTAAAAGTAGAAACGCCACTGATTGGATTCGACAGGACGTAAGGAATCGATAGATACCAATTTTATGATGTTGTGACAAACTGTTCACAAGTTACAGCCTCTGAACCAACTCTGGGTCGACCTTGTTCATTTTGCGACACCATAACTTTTGAATAAAGATGAATAAAAAAATCAGGAACAGTACTTTTATGCGGCTCGGTCCGAAGATCATTTGAGTGCATGTTTGGAGAAAATTGGACAAAATTTGAAGGAGGAGTAGCGAAAAAACTGTTTCACATTCGCTCCAATATGGCGGCCAGTCACATTGTTCAAAAGTAACATATGAGATATTGTTGAAATCGGCATAACCCAAAGAATATTTTGACATATAGAAATCAAATTTCAAGCAATGTTAGCAAAAGTTATAAGCATTTTTTCAAAAACAATGATATCTCTGGGACAATAGGTGGCGCTGTGACCAAACTTCTCAGGTACTTCCGGGCCAGTGATGCGCGGGTTGATCCGAAATGAGCGGGTGCCTGCGGTCACCCGCGGTTACCCGCAGTTACGGGTCATCCAAAAATGTTTTTAATGATATTCGGGTCGCGGTCGGTCGGGTCGTTTGAAAAAAGATGCCAATTAAACATTTGTATTAATATAGTACTAGACACAATTTTTGATGAAATATACAGCCCTACACATTATTGGCTTAATAACTGGCACGAAGATTACACACAAGCTCAGTCTAAACAGTTCCAGGATCTATACTGGTGATTCGAGAACTGTTGTCCCTGTGCGTTCGGTAGTACGCAGTATCTATGCTCAGTATCAGCTGCTCGTGCTCATCACTCATCACAGTGGCACCAACATGTCTCGGTTCAGTGAACTGTTGGAGTTACTGAAGTAAAATATAATTCAGGATATTGATTTATTTCGATTCGGAGGGACTATCAGGCATGTCTGAAAGTGAGTAACTTTAGTAACTTCTGGATCAGCACTGGCGCAAGACGCGAACTGTTTCGAACGATTCAGTTCGATTTAGTGTACTGGTTCAACCGGTTCACTAAAAAGAACCGGTTCAAAAGAACGATTCGTTCACGAACCCAATCGGATCGCTTGGGTCCTAAGGTGGGACTCATCTCTTCAGGGAGACTCATCTCTTCACCACACCGGCCATGTCTATGATCACTACAGTCTGAAGAGAGATGGAGGCGGCAAGAGAAAAGGTGAAGACTGGGGAGTGGAAGCTCCGCAAATACACAAATAGAAAGAGTAAAAGTGTGGGAGACATTTGCTGAAATAATGAAAGATGATGACCTAAGTGCTGGCTTTGCCTTTGTTATGTGTAGGCGTACGTCTTCTTGCGATGCTGTGTTATTACACATCTATGGCCCAATAACGCTCCGATGAGCATTTACTACTTTTAAAAAATGCGGTCAGGAAGCGGGTCGGGTACAAAATTTTTTTTTACTTTTTTTGCGGTCCGAGTTGCGGGCGGGTAGTTGAAAACGTCGGTCGGTTGCGGATTGTTTATACATTGACCCGCGCATCACTGTTCCGGGCCATGCTAATGGTAATCCATACCAAATTTGGTGAAGAAATTTCAAATAGTTTAAAAGATATTGCAAATTATGACAAAATTCTAAATGGCGGACACAGGGTACATCCCATCATGGAAAAATCGATATCCAAGGATTTGGCATGACGCAAGGAATCCATAGATACCACAATTATGATTTTCTGACAAAGTGTTCAAAAGTTATTGGCCAAAATAGCAATTTTGCACATCTCACGACCCGTAGGTGGCGCTGTTCCCAACTTTGGCATGGAACCTCAGAACGTGGTTCCGATGAAGTGTACCAATTTTCGTTTCGATTGATCAAACTTTGGCCAAGATACAGCCTCTTAGCCAATTTTGGGTGGACCTCGTTAAGTTTGCGACACCATAACTTTTGAACAAAGATGAATAAAAAAATCGGGGACAGTACTTTTATGCGGCTCAGTCTGAAGATCATTTGAGTGCAGAAAAAAATCATTTGGAGAAAATTGGACAAAATTTGAAGGAGGAGTAGCGAAAAAACTGAGAACTGTACATTTCAAAATGGCCACTACTGTAATGGGCGGGGTCTTAATGTACAGTATTGGTTGCAATCAGCATGATGAGAGGAATCAGGTGTACTAAGTTTCATGTCTCTGGAGCAAAGGGTTCAAAAGTTATAACCATTTCAATGTTGAATTTTTGAACTGCTGGTGGCGCTATAGAGTTGGTCCTAGAGGGTCAAAAATTGGTCCAATTACTATTCATTAGCATTACTACAAGTGTTCCTAATTTCATCATTTTCCTACTTACGGTTCATAGGGCTGCCATAGACTCCCATTTGCGGAATAATAATAATAAAAAAAACAACAAATACAATAGGTGCCTCAGCCCCTTCGGGGCTTGGCCCCTAATGATAGTGTGTCAGAGCTTGTTCTCACCCTTGATATCCAGCACCATCCCCGGAAAGGTGTTGCTCTTGATTTGACCTCTGACCTCTGCGCTCCAGGTTTGCACCGGCACACGCGTCTCCGTCCACAACACCACTTTAGCACCGGGCTCCACGTTACCCATCACCTGAATACTCGTGCTTCGGGCCAGCTGACACACACACACACAGACAGTCAACAGTGAGTTTGAAGCGGTGAATAAGTACACAGTGGAAGTGTAAGTCAAGTCACATTTATTTATATAGCGCTTTTTACTTTTTTTTTTTTACTTTCAAAACAGAGTGTTTCAGAGTAGCTTTACAGAGATAACAAGAAAATAGAGAATCGCGTCACAGTCCAGCTTCAGTTCAGTGATGGCTCATTTTTGTTTAAAAAAGTTATTAAATCAGTTTATATATATATATATACAGTATATAGCCGCTCTGGAGTAAACCGTGATGTCATCATCCAGCTCAGCTCATTTCTCATATAAATCTGTCGATGCAGGAGATCAATGATATTGAATGTTAACTGAAATGTAACACACCTTGTTCTTGATGAGGCCATCCTGATAGAGCCACAAGTCACTCATTCCTTCGACCTGTTCCGACACGACCACGCGACCCGTCTTCATGTCCTCCACTCCGCCCTGCACTGAGATATAGTGGCCCGTCTCCTTATTCCTCACGCGGAACAGTCTTTGCTTCTACAGGGATATTAACATACAATACATCCTTCAGAGATCAAGTTCAATTTTATTTCTATACACATTTACAACAGCCACTATGCGGACCAAAGTGCTTTACAGAACAACACGTTTAAAAGAAGATATAACGTGCATAACAAAAAATAAAACTAAAAATAAGAGCAACATAGCTAAGAGTAACCTTAAAACAGGAGTAGCAAAACACTACCAAACTGAAAAATAAATGAGTAAATCCAACCGAAGAAAAGAATCAATATACTTCAGAGAACTTTTTAAAAGAGCCTTGAAAGAGAAGAGAAGGCCATGTGGAGGAGAAACTGACCTGTCTGACGGGATACAGGGACCCGACGCAGGACACTGAGCTGAACTGGTGCCAGTTTGTGATTTCAATGGGTTCCAGAAGGAACTGGCGCCCCCTGTAGTTGCTGTGTTCACACAACACCCAGCTGAGGAGACATCGACGTGCTTTAGTCAACTTTGGGGTTGGTTAAGATTTCATTTAGATTCTAGTCTTATTCATCAAGGATGCATTAAATTGATCAAAAGTGACAGTAAAGACATTTATGTTACAGAAGATTATATTTAAAATAAATGCTGTTCTTTTTAACTTTGTATTTATCAAAGAATCCTGAAAAAAAGTTTCCACTGATATCTGAAGCTGTGTTCAACACTGATAATAATCAAATGTTTGTTGATCATCAGATCCTCATATTAGAGTGATTTCTGAAGGATCATGTGACACTGAAGACTGGAGTAATGATGATAAATTCAGCTTTGATCACAGGAATAAATTACACTTTACTATATATTCACATAGAAAACAGATGATTACTCTGGAGCAGAGATGTATAGTAACGAAGTAGAACTACTTAAGTACTGTACTTAAGTACTAAAATGCTGTATCTGTACTCTACTAGAGTATTGTTTTATTCTCATACTTCTACTTTTACTTCAGTAGATATTTTTGATGAATTTAATACTTTGACTTAGATATTTTTTTAAAAGTTCTGCTAGTTACTCGTTACAATTATAAAAATTTTACGAATCATTCGTTGCAAGTTGGCTTTCATGCTGCCTAGATCACACGCCAGTTTAATGGTATTGATTGATAGCCTAGAAATCTAGACGCACCCTAGCGGCAGCAAAATTTATTTTGCTGCAAAGTGTGACATCTTGATGTAGGTCTGGCATGCCAGGTTAATTGATTGACACACACATTGACAACTAATGCAGGGGCGGCCGCCAAAGCAAATTTGTATCCCGCCAAAGCGCCTTATTTGATTGCTAGTTCAAACTTTTGACTGCTTTCTTTAATAATTACATGACACAATACTTGTACTTTTACTTTTAGTACTTAAGTAGTGAATTTTAAAATAAACTACTTGCAATACTTAAGTACAAAAGATGTTGAATACTTTATCTACTTAAGTGTGGTGCATAAAGAGCACTTCAACTTCTACTCAAGTCACTTTTTTGATAGAGCACTTGTACTTTTACTCAAGTCCGGGTTTCTAGTACTTTATACATCTCTGCATATATTTCACTGTTTTACTGTATTTTTGATAAAATAAATGCAGCTTCGGTGAGCAGAAGAGACTCTTTAAAAAAACATTTTAAAAAATCTTTAAAAAATGCAAACATTTGAATGGGAGTATGTGTGTGAAAATATCATACCATATAGACTTGAGAAATAATAACTAGCATTTTAAACTCACCAGCCGCTGTTGACCCTGACAGAGAGGAAGTGCGTATTGAATCCTTCCTCCTGTATGTTGGAAACCGGCGAGTCGAAAGTGACCTCTCGACCTTCAAAACACTCCAGGCCAAAGAGAGAGATCGACGGCACCGAAAAGCCCTGAGAGAGAGAACGACCGGCCCACGTCAGCCAGAGCCATGTATTGAGAGAGTTGCGACACGCTTTGATGTCGCCGCAAGGCTGTCAAGTGGTTCATGGAAGCCCCGATAGTTCCAAAACAGACGCGGGCTGTCATGCTCTTCAATGGACAGACAGCAGCGATTGCATTATTAAACGGTAAATATAAAATAAAACGCACACCAAAGTACTTTTTAAGCTTTTATTGCATTTGGTTAATGTCAGTGTTGCATTTGGAGAGGCAGGGTGACAACTTAGATGTTTTTTAGGCTATATTTTTTGAGGGAGAAGCTTGTGTTCATGTTCGCATTGGTAGTTGCACTGGCTTTAGCGGCTCTAACTTAACTTTTCCATGTCATTCATCTGATGATGGACGTCTCATGATATTTATTTTAGCACAACTGGGATGTAGGTTATTGATTCCTGTGATCTTGCTTATAAATTCCGATTCAGCCATTAGCCTACCGTGATCACGCAAAGACCCGTGGACCGGTGGCCCGTTCAGGATTATAATCATGACAACCAACATAAAATATAAATAATTACACTGTGCATGTACAAATGAATGATTTAGGAGGGATATAGACTGCTCCCATAACATAGCAATGACCATATTTACAGTAATGTTCGGTAAATTTTAACTGTTAGGTATCTTTTCTATTTTGAATGCACTTCATTTTGTATAGTGCTATGGACCATTTACAGTTTTTCTCGATTGTTTACACACATTTCCTGCAAGCATGCCTCATATTCTCAAAACTCTACACACAAATATAAAACCACTCACACAATCGGCAAAACCCCTCAATTCTAGTGCAAAATGAAACTTTACATTCAAAACAGTGTTATATATTCTCAAAATGTTATTTTGTTTTCAAATGACACACACAAACCATCATATGAATAGACATTTATAAGAACCAGTTGAACACTGATGTGCTCAATGTAAAACACATACGATCAATGGAAAACACTCCTTCTCCATTCATCATAATGACTTGGGCCTTTTTTTGTTCAGTGTTACACTTACTACAGACATTACATACATAAGTGTGTTGTAAAATATTTGTGAATATTGTTTTTATACCCAGAACACACAAATACACGGTAACAAATATATTTTATTTTTCCCACAAAAACAATGGGAGATAGATTGCACATTTCATACACCCCAACCAACACAAAGTTGTACATGCAGTGATCTACAAAACAACAGAAAAAAAATGATTATGCTGTTACAGTAAAAAAAAAAAAAAAAAAAAAAATATATATATATATATATATGCTGCATCCTCTCTTATGCTAAAGCTCTGATTGCTAATTGTAAAACTGTGTGAGGGGTGTTTGCCCATGTGACGAGTCAGTGTAAATATTTGAATGGCATTGTGTTCCTTGTGAAAACAAGAGATTTTCTGCATGAAAATTGTGCCAAAATGCAGAGAATTTGTGTGTAGTGTTTTGAAAAAAGTGTGTTTAAGAACTCGAATTTGAGTATAAAGCAGGAATTGTGCTTGTAGTTCCCCTGAATTTGTTCAGGGGGTTGGTGAATGAGTTACATGTTGTGGTCATTGTGTCTCAAGTACCGGAATTTGTGTGTAAACAATTGAGAAAAACTGTAATATGTATTTTCCTGAATAAAGATATGATAATGATGAGTTAATGAGTGAAATATTTGTTCCTAAATATGATCCATAACTGTTGGGATCCAATTCAGTATGGCTATTTTATATATATTTTTAAATAATATAATAATGTTATATATTTATATGATGTTATAAAAAATATTATATACATCAGGTTACCATAAGTTAGCTAACAACGCTAGTGAAGTGTTGGTCACGTAAGCTATCGCTGCAATTAACCTATTATCTTCCAATTAACATTTACTAGATCTGGCTACATAACATTTAACTACAGACTAGATTCACGAGAAGTCGGCTAATGTGTGTAAAAGTAAAAAATACAGTAATTTCATTAATTTACCAGCGAGCGTACTTCGGAAGCACTGAAAATGAATGGGGTTCAATGCTGGAACTATCAGCGGTTGGAACTATTAGCGGCTCCATGACACGTGTTACTTCCGCATTCCTAAGTTACAATGGCGGTCTCTGGCAGTGTCGGAACTCTCTCAAAACATGGCTCTGACGTCAGTGACATCATCACATCATCGCCATTAAACTTGACCTCATTTAAACACAACACTTGCATCAAATCGATGCAATTAAGCTCATAATCATAGAAAAATATGCACTCTATGCCGATTTTAACCACAATATACAGGCACGCAAAGATTCCACTCTGATCGAAGTGTGTGTGTGTGTGTGTGTGTGTGTGTGTGTGAAACCGAGCTCATGTGAACATGCAGGATATTAATGTTCGAAAACATGAATTCGGTGCGTCACTGAAAAAAACATCAAGAAGCTAGTTGAGTAAGAAAGCGCATAGGTTTTTTCAGTGATGTACCTAGCTGTCTTTATTTCAATGTTTTTAACCATCAATATCCTGCATGTTCACATGAGCCAGTGAAGTCTTTACGTGCCTGTTTATTGTGATCATGTAGTGTAAGAACTATATAAATGCCTCATTCACTCGGTTTCCACTCACCATTGGCACTGCTTTGACGGAGCGAACGCTGGAGTCGGGGGGGAAGGCCATGCTGGTCAGGCTGGGATATTCTCCTTCAGATAAAACACACATGTTTCCCGTGAAGTTCTCTCCTCCATAGAGCACCCAGCTGAAAGAGACAGAGGAATACAAGCTGAGTTTCCCACAATATATGAGCATGAATCCAAAGGATGACCTTCACGGACCTTCCTCCCACCACCCTGACGGACCGGACCGACAGGCTCTCAGGCAAACAGCTCTGGTTCTGGGAACAGACTCGACAGGAGCCCTGGAAATCCAGGTCGGAGTACAACAACACCTGCAGAAGAGCGAACGAGAGCATTTATATGACAAGAATGCATACAACTGATCAAAGCTGACAGTAAAGGACGTTTATTTTCATTCTTCCCTTAAAGGAGTAGTTCACTTTTAAAAAAACTTTTGCTGACAATTTACTCACCCCCATGTCATCCAAGATGTCCATATTCAGTTGAAAAGAAATTAAGGTTTTTGATGAAAACATTCCAGGATTTTTCTCCTTATAATGGACTTCAACAGGAACCAAGCGGTTCAAGGTCCAAAAGACAGTTTCAGTGCAAACTGTTCAAAGGGCTTTAAACGATTCCAGACGATGAATAAGGGTCTTATCAAGGACCCTTCGAGTCATGACTCGAAAAAAGATTTGTTCATTTTGATGAACGAGTTTGAACAGGAGAGTAGACGCGCATCATAGAACAGAGCAAGGCGAGCATTTGACTAAAACTTAAACAAAAACGTTGTTATTTTATTTTTAAATGAGCAATCGTTTCACTTGATAAGACCCTTATTCATCACCTGGAATCATTTAAAGCCCTTTGAAGCTGCACTGAAAGTGTCTTTTGGACCTTGAACCGTTTGGTTCCCATTGAAGTCCATTATATTTATATAGCACATTAAAACAACATTTCTGCTGACCAAAGCGCTTCACAAAACACAATAAAAATTACAGTCCCACAAAAATACGGAGTAAAAAACTTTTAATTCGCTTTTTAACTTAAACCATAAGTTTCGTATGCGTTTTTTCGTATTCGTCATTCGGTGGCTCTGAAGTTTCTAACGCCAGACCCCGTATCATTGAGAATGAAACGTGGTCTGGAAACCACATGTTCAATTTCTCGTATTTGAGGCGTGGTTTACGAATACCCAGAGCCGTATTATTGGGTGCTACGAATGTCTATCAAATGCGCCTGTATGTCTATCAAATGCACCTGTGCTCCCTCCCCGTTCTGTGATTGGTTCCCTATTTCAGAGGAAAATTTGGTTCATGGTATCCAGACTGCCTTGCAGCGCAAATAAAATCGTGCTGCGGCAAGGCAGAATGGGGAAACCCAGGCTACAGCGATATATGGTTGACTATGAATATGTAAATATGTCCTCTCAGTAAGAAGGAAAACACACAGTAGAGATTCAGACTCCAGTCACGTCACGTTTAGTTATACAACACTTTATACAATAGATTGCTTTAATGTAGCAGCTTTTGTGGAGTTTTCCAGCAATCTGTGTTTTCACTGTTATCCAGTTCAGATGTGTTTAACAGCTTTCAGCCATAATAGGAAGTTTGCTTCTGAAGCTGTTTCAAGAACTCACACAACAAACTTTGTTTTGGCCTGATTTTATACGAAATAACATCACAAAAGTATATCAAGGCCTTAAAGACATTTATAATGTTATACAAATCAAATAAATGAAGCCTTGGGAGTCGTTACATGCGATCGACTCACCTCGTTTCTGAAGCTGGGTCCTTCACTGGGAGCCTAAAACACAGCAACAGCAAGTTGATTTATACATTTCACAAACAATGCTGAGTTTTTATTGATTCACTTGAAGCTCATTCAGTAAATATATCATTAACTCCTGCAGTGTTCCCTCACAGGATCAGACTAAGGAATGAGGAGGAAGGGCTCTTACAGCGAGGATGGGCTGGAGCGAGCAGATGCGGTTGTCTCCGGAGCCCCAGTCGCCACAGTTGTTGTAGAAGCCTTTCTCCAGGACATACTGGCTCCCAGAGAAGTCCACGTGAGAGTAGGCCACCCATCTGAGAGAGAGAGGGAAAGAGTGAGTGTGTGTGTGTGTGAGAGAGAGAGAGATAGTCACATACATGAGAGAGAGAGATAGTCACATACGCTCCGCTCAGCACGTGGATGGAGTGTGTGTGTGTGTGTGTGATAAACATAAACACACGCATCATCTCACACATCTCATCAATAAAGCACAGATTGGCTTTCTACCAAAACGCTGCACATCCGACCACATCTATTCACTCCACACACTCATAAACAAAATCATTAATGACAAACAAAGGAAAATATTTGCATGTTTTGTAGACTTCAAAAAAGCATTCGATTCAATTTGGCATGATGGTCTACTATACAAAATTCTAAAAATTGGCATTGGCGGAAAAACGTTTGACATCATAAAATCTCTGTACAGCAACAGCAAAAGTGCGGTGGACATCAGGAACCACAGAAGCGCGTTCTTCCAGCAGGGCCGTGGAGTGAGGCAGGGCTGCAGTCCACTGTGCCCGGCCTCACTCTACACCACACACAGGCCAGGGGTCAGGGGTCAGAGGTCAGATGTCTGCTGTACGCGGATGATCTGGTCCTGCTGTCCCGCACACCTGAGGGCCTTCAGCAGAGCCTGTCCCTGCTGGAACAATACTGTCACGACTGGGCCCTAACAGTCATTCTGGACAAAACCAGAGTCATGGTGTTCCAGAAGAAGGCCAGATCTCAGGACCACAAACACCAGTTTCTGTATAAAGGCCAGATCCTGCAGCACAGCACGAGTTATAGCTATCTGGGCATCGACATCAGCGCTTCGGTCTGGCTGTCAAAACACTGAGTGAAAGGGCTCGGAGGGCTTTTTATGCCATAAAGTCATGATGTGGACACTTAAAATTACCCATTAAAACCTGGATAAAATTATATAAATCGATAATAAAACCAATCCTTTTATCTGGATGTGAAATTTGGGGACCACTACTAAATTTAAAAAATTGGGATAAAACATTAGTAGAAAAATTTCAATTGGAAATTGCCAAAAATATTTTAGGGGTTCACCGAAACACACCCACTGCCGCCTGCAGGGCTGAGCGAGGCCTGTACCCGCTGAACATCGAGATCCAGAAAAGATGTGTTCAGATCTGGCATCACCTCCATCAGTCTGATCCAGAGTCAGTCCAATACAAAGCCCTCCTCGCCAATGAAAGCTCAGCAGAACCTCATCCTCTACACACACTCGCTCTTCAACTCGTCCATCAGACCCAACCTCCCACTGACTACAGCTACAGCCCCAAAACTACTGTTAAAGAGATCCACACACACCTAAAAGACACTCATGATAAATCACTTAAAGCACATTTTGACCTCCAAAATAAACTCCAATGTTATTCGACCCTCAATAGAACCACTAAATTGGCCAGCTATCTATTTATTAAACATTTTAAAGAAAGACAAATCCTCTCCAAATACAGATTAAGCGACCATGATCTAGAGATAGAGAGAGGAAGACATAGACACACATGGACAGAGAGAGAGCAGAGGATATGTAGACACTGTGATCTACAGCACATAGAGGATGAGGAACACTTTCTGCTCTTCTGTCCCAAATATACCAATATTAGAGAAACTTTTCTGCCCAGATTTGAATCCTTGATCCCATCATTCTCTGATCTGAGTGACACTGAGAAAATGTTCTTCTTACTCGGAGAAGATGATAATACAGCTGCACTAGCGGCTAAATATGTGTTAGCTATTCACAACGCCAGAGATGGCTAATTGTATTTATTCATTTTTTAATATATACTGTGTTTATTTATTTACCATGCTACATATGACATGATCTATATGACATGATCTATACATATATGTTCTGTGTGTTTGTTCTATTATTTATATATAATATGTTGATGCTTTGGCAACATTGTGTTACACAGTCATGCTAATAAAGCTATATTGAAATTGAAAATTGAAATTGAATTGTGTGTGTGTGTGAGAGAGAGAGAGAGAGAGAGAGAGAGAGAGAGAAAATCTATTATTTATTTATTTATTTATTTATTTTATTATTTATATTTATAGAAAATCTATCCAAATTGAAATACCAATCCGAATCTGGCTCAAAATATTCCAATCAGTCATAGAACCGATCGCATTATATGGCAGTGAAGTTTGGGGTCCTCTCCTAAATCATGAATTTGACAAATGGGACAAAAACCCGATTGAAACCCTGCATGCCGAGTTCTGTAAGAGTATCCTGGGAGTACAGAGGAACACACCGAACAACGCATGCAGGGCAGAGTTAGGCCAATACCCTCTGCTAATACACGTTCAGAAACGAATCATCACATTTTGGAAACATCTAAAGATGAGTGACCCCAACTCTTATCATTTTAAAGCCCTTAAAACCCATGAGATGAACCCTGAAAAGAGCCGGCTCCTTCAGCTGGTCCTGCGGCTCCACACACACACTGACACCACTAACCTTACTCCGCCTCAGGACACACACACCCTCACACACACAATCCGGCCCAAACACATCATACAAGCACAACGAGAGAATTACCTGACCTCCTGGACTAAAACTACAGAGAAACAAAGTAAACTTGAATGTTATTTGGCCCTAAATAGAGACTACACCACCGCAGAATAGGAAGGATGACGAGGTACAGACTGATCAATCACACACTGACTGTAGAGACGGGCCGACACAGACAGAACTGGCGACCCAGAGAGAGACGCGTCTGCCCGTACTGTGAGCAGGGAGAAGTGGAGACTGAGCAACACTTCCTCACCAGCTGCCCCAACTATAAGGACATTAGAGGGACTTTTTACACAAAATTTGAAATACTTTACCCTAAATTTATGCAATTAAATAACAAAACACAATTACAACATCTATTAGGTGAAAAAAAAGATTGTATCACACTAGCAGCCAGATACATTGATGCATGTCACAAAAAGAGAGAGTCGACGACCAATCAGTGATGCGCCAACACACACACACATACACACACACCCCTGTACACCACACACTCATACGCATTGTTTTTCTAAATTCTTCACAGAATTTTTAAATGTTCATAAGCTGTTCCATTTTATTTATTTTACACTGTTAATTTGTACAATCAATTTAAAATGCTATATTATTTTACTATGTTGATGTCTTTATAATTATTCTATGTATTCCAAGCTTTGACAATATTGTATGATGTACAGTCATGCCAATAAAGCAATTTTGAATTGAATTGAATTGAAAGAGAGAGAGAGAGGAGGGAAAGAGTGAGTGTGTGTATGTGAGAGAGAGAGAGTCACATACGCTCCGCTCAGCACGTGGATGGAGTGAGTGTGTGTGTGTGTGTGAGAGAGAGAGAGAGAGAGAGAGAGAGAGAGAGAGAGAGAGTCACATACGCTCCTCTCAGCACGTGGATGGAGTGTGTGTGTGAGAGAGAGAGAGAGAGAGAGAGAGAGAGAGAGAGGAGCAAAAGAGTGAGTGTGTGTGTGTGGGTGTGTGTGTGAGTTTGTGAGAGAGAGAGAGAGAGAGAGAGAGAGAGAGAGAGAGAGAGGTTCCGTTCAGCAGCAGCAGCATGAAAATGAGCTCCTGATTTTTTGCTTTTTAAATGTTGTTTTAAGACAAGACAGACAATCAATTTTTATAAACATTTATAAAATAAGACCATCTGCAACATTTTAACAAAAGGACATTGAACTGATCAAGAAAATTCAGCAGAAGACACCTAGCTGACAACCAACAGACAGAAGGCTGACAGAAGGCTTAAAGGCCTCACAACTGCCACGAGAGAGAGGAAAAGAGAATCTCCGAGTGAGTACACAAAATATCTACAATCAACCACCTGTTTTGGAGAAAGATTTGCCCCAAAACTGATTTAATTCATCTACAATATAAGGGCTAACTCCAGTAGATATAAATATTCATAAAACAACAACAAACTGCCAGCAACTGTCAGAATATTTGAAAAATGACGGAATCAATCCCTGTAACATATCCATCCAAAGCTACCAATGAGATCCTTAAGAAAAAACATAAAGAAAAGCTCCTCAAGGACAACCCAGAAACCCTGTACTCCGACTTGTACAGGAATGGAGAGGTCAGTAACATCATATTCTACACAGAAGACCCCGAAGCCTGGCACTCTGCAATCAAACATCATTACCCCTCAGTGATTAGAAAGGGCATCAGTAATGGATGGAAACTACAGATTAAAGAAGATGAGGATCCAGATTCAGATGTCACAATAACAGCAAACCTTTATAAAAACGGGACTGTAATGATTCAGGGGAAGCTGAAACAATTTGAAAAGGATTTCCTGCAAATTAAAGTAAAAGCTCAGCTGAACAAGACCAGTCCTAATACACAGAAACGTGCAGATGACCCCTCGACCTCCAGCCATCAGTCCACAGCTGAGCAGTCCAGAGACGACAGTGAGGAGATCTCCCTTCTACACAGCATCATCAACGACATGAAGGAGAAGTTCAGGGAGATGGAGCTGGAGCTGGTGCAGCTGAGAGAGGAGGTGCATAGAAGTGAAGTAGTGAAGGAGACTGATCCAACAGAGAAAGAAGCGGATTACAGGAAAGAAATAGAAATCCTTAAGAAAGAAACTCAAGAAATGAAAAAACAGGGAGAAGAGTACAGCAATCAGATATCTGAAATGAGGGAAGAGTTGAGAAAGCTGAGAGAGGACAGAGAGTCCCACACCATACACCGGTCGGCTGTGGAGAAGCAGCCGACACAGAGAGGAGAACAGCAGTGCTCAGAGGAGACTCGTCCTCCAGCGAACACAGAGACCAGCACCAGCAGCCCTCCTCCAGCAGACTCCCACAGTCAGACACAGCCGCAGATTATACTCCTCATGGACTCCAACAGCAAGTTTATCGATGAAAAGAGACTTTTCCCCAGAAAAAATGTCAAAAAAATATGGTGCCCAAACACACAGAAGGCCCTGGAGCTCTTGTGTGAAGAAGAGCTGGGTTCCCCCAGTCACATCATCATCCACACCGGCACCAACGACCTCCGAGC